GGATCGTCTTCTCGGACTGGCCGTCCGTCTCTGGATGGTAAGACAAACTGAACTTTAACTGGGTGCCCATTGCCTCATGCAAACTCTCCCAGAATCTGCTGGTGAATCTGGGATCTCGATTGGATATGATCGTAACGGGCACTCCGTGGAGTCGAATAACACCACGGGTATATATCTCGGCCGACTGGTCCATCGACATGGTCATCGTCACAGACATAAAGTGTGCGACTTTCGTCAGCCTGTCTACCACTACCCAAATCGTGTCGTGATGCTCGGACGACTTAGGTAGTCCCGTGATGAAGTCCATGGTAACCTCTTCCCACTTCCAGCTGGGAATCTCAAGTGGCTGTAGCAGACCTATGGGACTCTTGTGTTCGGCCTTAACTTGATGATAGACCAAACACTTCTTCACGAAGTCTGCTACATCTCTCTTCATTCCTTGCCACCAGAACGACCTTCTCAGGTCGTGGTACATCTTGGTACTCTCAGGGTGGGCTAATATGGCGCACTGTGGGCCTCAGTCAGGATTTCCTTGCGTAAAGTCCTGACCTTTGGCACGACAATGCAGCCTCTTAACTCCAAGGCTCTATCTGTGCCTCGGTAAAAGCCCTCTATGCCTCCGGCGTGAACCTTCGCTTCTAAAGTGCAAATGAACTGATCGCAGGATTGCTCCTGTCGGATTCTATCTCTCAGCATGGGATGAACTCACATCGTGTTAACACTCCCCGAAATCTCCTTAGGAAGTGAGTCGACGACCTCAATCTGCATCCGGGCAAACTCCATGATAAGCTGGCGCTGGTCGGTGATAGAACAAACTGGCTCACCCCTCACCTTTCGGCTTAGGACGTCTGCTACCATGTTTGCCTTCCCCGGATGGTACTGTATGGTGCAGTCATAATCTTTCACAAGCTCCAACCATCGCCTCTGGCGCATGTTGAGCTCTTTCTGTGTGAAGATATACTGCAAACTCTTGTGATCGGTAAAGATCTCACACCGACCACCATACAGATAATGGCGCCAAATCTTGAGTGCATGCACAATCGCCGCCAACTCTAGGTCGTGCGTATGGTAATTTTTATCATGTGGCTTCAACTGACGTGAAGCATACGCGACGACTTGGCCATCTTGCATCAGCATACACCCAAGACCCTGCTTCGAGGCATCACTATAGATGGTGAAACCCCGAGTAGGATCTGGAATAGTCAGACATTGGAGCCGTCGTAAGCCTCTTCTTGAGCTTCTGAAAGCTCTCCTCACAACGACTCGTCCACTCAAATTTCACAGATTTCCTCGTCAACTTGGACAAGGGGAGGGCAATCTTTGAAAATCCCTTGATAAATCTGCCATAGTACCCTGCTAGACCGAGAAAACTGCGGACCTCGGTGGGACTTCTGGGCGCTGACCAATTCCGAACGACGGCAAACTTCGCTAGATCGACCTCTATGCTTCTCTCGGTGATGATGTGGCCTAAGAATGCCACTCGCTTCAGCCAAAATTCACACTTGGAGAACTTGGCGTACAACTTTTATCGCCTAAGGGTCCGGAGAACAACCCTCAGATGCTACTCATGATCCTCAAAACTCTTGGAGTAGACCAAAATGTCATCAATGAAGATGATAACAAATTGGTCTAAGTACTGATGGAACACCCAATTCATCAAATCCATGAACATCGCTGGCGCATTACTCAAACCAAACGGCATGACCACGAACTCGTAGTGCCCGTATCTCGTCCGAAAAGCAGTCTTGGCTACATCGGACTCCTTAATTTTCAGCTGATGATAGCCTGAGCGTAAATCAATCTTGGAAAATACGCAAGCTCATCTCAGTTGGTGAAACAAGTCGTCTATCGTGGGGAGCTGATACTTATTCATCACCGTTAACCGGTTGAGATCCCGGTAATCAATGCATATTCTCATGGATCCGTCTTTCTTCTTGACGAATAGGACGGGTGCTCCCCAAGGTGAGACGCTTGGTCGGATAAAACCGAGTTTCAACAACTCTGTAACGCCCCGTTTTATTTTATCGAATTTATCGAATTAATTAATAAAAATCAGAGTTTTTTTTTTTTAAATTTTAAATTAAAAACATTTAACGAGAAACGGGCGCTACGTGCTAATGACATCAGATAAACACATTCATCAAACAAAAGAGCCTACACGTACTCGGAATAACGATATAAAATTATCCCTTAAATTCATAAGTCTCAAAACATTCAAATAGATCTAGCATGAAACAAGGTTCAACCAAACTTAAACATAATTCGAAAGCGGAAGCAAGAATTAATCCAAAGTATGAAAGAAAATAATTAAGTAACAAGTTCATGCATAACACATAATCCGTATACAAAATCAAAGCAGGGATATAAGCACATAATAAAATATCCAAATCCAAACGGGAACAATAAATCAAGTCAAGTATCAGTTCAGCAAATCATAAACAGGCGGAAGCATAAAATAGCGATAACATAATTTGACCAACGACCATCCTCTTTACGCCACCACCACCAACTCAGCTCAACCTAAAGAAAAGAAGAGGAGACAACAACAGAAAATAATGGGGGTGAGCAACCAACTAGCTCACCATTATCGCACGATTATTCCGCATAATAATTTTACAAATAAATAATCGCTGTGTACAATATCAATACCGGTATGCATAGAATTCATAGCCTAAACCCCTACCCGGCTCTATCGCAAACCTCCTATGTACATACAACAACCTTCCGGATACGACGGCATGGCTGTAACTGGAAACCTTCCCACCCCCGGATACAACGGTACATGGGATCCTTTCCAGGAGACAGTAAAGTTGAATTACCTCTCCGCTCTACACGGATTCGAGTAAATCAGACAATCCCCTCCACTCTACACGGATTCGGGCGTCCACCTCCCGGATACAACGGGCAGGCGACTTCCACTGCTTTCGCATTCATCAAAGGCACTATCGTTCGGGACACTTAGACTAGAGTTCTCATGCATACAATAATTTTCAAAAGAAAAATTACACGAAATAATAAGTGCGATAAATATGGAATACATCATAAATGTACCCACCTGATTGCAGCTACAGTTTAGATCGTAAATCTCGAGACGAGGCGAGGTTCAACACCTCTAGACACCTACATTAAGTCCAGATACTAAAGTCACACTTTAATCTAGACCTATGTAGAAAAATTCACAGATTGACTTAGCCGAACTCGGTTCGACCAAGTGGTTCGTGAAGTTCTGTGGATATGGGAAGACTAGGACTTAGACTCGATCAAACCACATATAAATGCAAGTGAAAGATAAACAAACGAGCCACAAATCAACACATGGCACCTTTGGTCAATAACACTTAACAAATTTCAACATAGAAAAACAATTTCTCAAATTCACACTTGAATTAGGAGGCATATCAAATCAATGAGTTAGGTTCTAAAACTTTTACGTAAAATTCACCTCCCAGAATTTAGTAAAAACACCCAGTTTCATTCTCAAACTCATTAAACCCAATTTTATACAATTCCAACAAGTTTTTCGATAAAAACGAGTTTAAATTAACAACACATGATAATGAACGATTTAGGCCATGAAATTTTTATCTAAAATATTTCAGCATATTAACAGCAACACATAAAAATATCAGCCCTTAACACTCAGTATATGAATTTATAAAACTAAAACAACATTCATCCAATTATCAAATTTCCGTCAGAACTGAATCCAAACGAACTCCAAAAATTCCAATATTTTTACAGCATGCAATACATCACAAAATGAGCATCTCAACCAAAAATCAGAATTTTAAAGCTTCAGAACAATTTATAATAATTCAAACAAATTCAAGCAGAATCACAAAATAATTTGTTAACCCTATCAAACCTAATTCACAAATTCTAAAAATTTTACACAACACATGAATATACGAGAGACATGACATACTCGAAAATTGGCCAGAAACGAGCACTACATAATTAATTATGCATTTTACAAGAAACTGAACAGAAATTAAATTAATTTTTAAAAATAGCTAAGCACCTTTAAAAATCACGAAAATTTTACAGCACCTACATATTCATCAAAAACAGGTGCTCCTAAAATTTCAAGGCAATCGGACTAGTATTCAATATATATTAAATTTTTCATTCAAAACAGCCATTATAAACTTCGAAAAATCATAACGACAAATATACACGTCCAATCGACACAAGGCCAACGCCATTGTGTTCGAAATAATCCTAGGTTCCTAAATCCACAGCAACTAATCACTTATAATGAGTTCTCGTTCGATTCGCACGAATCGACGAGATCGACACATAATTCAATCAAGCACGGCTCAACATATTCATTACAATCGCCAATGATCATATCACATGTACACAACAAATACACTCCATATATAATTCATCGGGCACGATTAACACATCAAATAAACACGTGAATAACGCAAGAAGGATCGAGGCTCGATACCGTTCTCGGGAAACGCGAGAATGGTTCGAACGGATGCGAACGGCACGACGGGCTCGACGGCTCAGGCTCGGCTCGCCGGTGGACTCACGGAGGAGCAGCGGCTCGTGGACAGCGGCTCACAGCGATAAAGGATGCTGCTGTGGCGAGGCTCGTCGTTCGCGGAGGAGGGCCCGGAGTTGCAGGGCTGCTCGCCGAGGATGAGGGCGGCAACGGGAGCGGCTCGCGGTGGTGTTGCGCATCGGGTCTGCTTGCTGGGGTGGTCTTGCCGGTGGGTTGTGAATGAAAGATGATGGCCTTTGCTGGTTCACGGCAACTGAGACGCGTGACGGGGCGGAGCAGCGGCGGCCGGAACTTCACGGGAGCAGGTTCACGGTGGCGCTCGCGGAGGTGCAACGAAGCAACGTTCGCCGGGGCTGCTACACGTGAACAGGGTTTGCCGGAAAATGGGCAGCAGATGGTGGTCGTGGTCAGGGATGGCTCCTCTTGCGTAGGACGAGGGCTGCGACGGTAGTGGGCGGCTCGCACCTGGGCTCTTTGCGCAAAACAGGGGCACCCGACGGAGGTAAAGGCAGCGGCGATGGCGGGAGGAGAGGGGCTCGCCGGACTACAGCAGTTGATTCACGTCGTGCGAAGGAGCAGGGGAATTCGTGGAGAGGAAACTCGTCGGAGTATGGTGGCGGGTCGCCTGCGCGCGGAGGAGTTGCAGATTCGCGGCAGGGCTTCACGGCGAAGGACGACTTCGCGGGTGGAGGAGGGTTTCACGGCAGCGATTGATTGCTGATGGGGGAAACTCGCTGGTTCACGGTGATCGGAGGCTCACAGCGAAAAACGAGCGCAAGGGGATGATGGCGATCTGAAAACGACGAGAGAAAGGTGAAGGCGGCGATGGATCGATTGAAAGAGAGAGGTGAGGGAGAGATTGAGAGGTTGCAGCGTGATTTTGATCGAGAGAGAAAAAGATGTACAAAGGCTGCGGCGTGTTTTAGGTTGAAGGAGATGGACTCAAGAGAAATTATATTGGGCCAAAGATACAAAGTTTGGGCCGATACTATACAATTTGGGCCGAACAAATACAAGCTTAAAGGGCCGCAGGCGCGGGCGGGTCTCGGGCCGACTCTCGAGCTCGATTTAGCCCAAAATAATAACTCGGTTAAAAATTTATACACATTATTTTAAAATACTAATATTATAAATCAAAATATACAATTAGCAATTAATTGACAATTAGACATATAATATCTAGGCATTCAATTCGGCAAGCAATAATTAATAATATCACAATAATGATAAACATCCATAATAATAATAATAATAATAATAATAATAATAATAATAATAATAATAATAATAATAATAATACTTCAAATAAACCACAAATAAATGGGGCATTACATCTTCGATCTGCATCTTCAACTCCTGCAACTCCTTCGGAGCCATACGGTATGGTGCCTTAGACACCGGTCCTGCTCCTGGAACAAGATCAATAGTGAACTCCACCTGCCTGCTGGGTGGTCCCCCTGGTAGCTGATCCGGGAACACATCCACGAACTCACGAACAACTGGAACATCGTGAGGTGTCTGTGCTCTCGATCCTTCATCGACAAGGCTCACCAGGTAACCCTGACAATCTCCTCTGCGCAGAATCTTCCTCGCCTTCGCCATCAAAACGACACGAGGCAGGGTTCGCGTCTTCCTTCCCGAGGCTAGACTCACTTCGAGAGGGTCAACAGTGTTGATGGGCTGAACTCCAATGGTCTCTATACATCGAGTCGACACAAACGAGTGCGTCGCACCAGTGTCGAACAGGGCAAATATAAGCATATCATTCAAAGTAATCATCCCAGACATAGTACCTGAGTTCTGCTCTGCCTCAGCCTGCTCGACTGCATAAACCTGTGCCTACTGTCCTCGCCTCTGCTGCTGAGGCGGCCTCTGCTGCTGCTGCTGCTGCCTATCTGGACAGTTCCGGATGGTATGTCTGGGACTCCGACAGTTGTAGCAAACATTCTGTCCGGCAAGACAGTCTCTGCGGTGTGGGCGTCCGCAGGTGCCACATGGTGGGATCTGTGGCTGTCTCTGCCTGTTTCTCCGGTGATTCTGCTGACCCTTCCATTTCCTTTTGTTCTTAGGCTTCGCCTGCTGGACAGGCGATGGTTGAGCTGGGGGCAATGCCGGATACTGAGCTGGGGACAACACTAGGGGCTGAACTGACGGCTGTACTAGATCCATCCTGAGACTGGCGTCTGTCTCCTGGGCCTTGGCGACAACATTGGCGTAAGACTGGACGCCATGTCCCGCTACGTGGTGAGGGATAGCTGGCAGTAACTCGTCACGAAAGTGTCTCACCTTCTTCGCCTCGGTGTCCACCAGATAAGCGACAAAGAACCCGAGACGAACAAACTCCCGCTCGTACTCATCCACGGAGCGGTGGCCCTGCTTAAGCGCCAAAAACTGGCGCTCCATCTCAGCCTTGAAGGTATCCAGGTAATACTTTTCCCGCAACATCTCTTTGAACTGTGGCCATGTGAGGTTCTCCTTCTCACCAGGGCGCATGCCCCAGTAGGAGTTCCACCACAGCCTGGCGTCTCTTGTCATCTGGACCTAGGCACACAGAATGTTGTGCCTCTCGGAGCACTCGATGATCTCGAAAATGGCCTCGAGACCCTGGATCCACTCATCAACTAGGCGAGGATCTCCCTGCCCCGAAAACTTATCTGGGTTGTAGCCGCGAAACTGGACGACTACCTCAGCCTGAGTCATCTCTCTCTGAGCTTGGTTTGTACGACGGGCCATCAGAGAATAAGCCGCGTAACTTGGTCAGAATAGGAGATGATATTGAATAAGGCTGAAAGGAAACGCTGAATACTGAAATAGACACAAATTTCTTGACGAGTTGCTGAAAATAACTTGATAATCTAGAGTTCGACTAGAGTTTGAATCTAGAGTTCTGAATTCTGATAGAGGACATATCTGATACTGCTAGGAGTCTTATACTGATTTGAGCATCTAAAGTTCGGATTATCTGAATCTTATTGAGCATAGACATAGTACAGTTTGCTTATATAAACTTTGAAACAATTTTACAGCATGCACTTACCTGGTAGTCGGCGCGGCGTGAGTGTGGTGTGGTCGGGTTTTGTAAATTTTCCTGTCTTTTTAAAACATTCAGAAGCACAAAAGTGCTCTGATACCAACTGCAACACCCCGCTACTTAGGGCCAATTTTTCGCAAATTCTAACTTTCGAAAACACTTATAAATTTTTCGAAATCGTTTGCAAACTATCTCGGGATGCTGCTAAAAACTCTTCTGCTTTAAAAATCCGTTTTCCTTAACTAGGTCTATTAACTGGTTTAGACTTTAAGAAAATCAGATTTAAATCTTTTGTCGAATCTTGCATTTAAACTGGTCCCGTCCGTACTGGAGAACTGGATAATTATTTAAGTCTGAAAATACTGTCATGCAAGTTCGAAATAAAAGCAAACATAGCGGAAGTCTAAAAATGTGTGGTTTTAATAGTTATACAAAACATGATAACAAATGTCCCTGGAACGGCTTGCTGTGCCATCTCCACGACCACAACCACAACAGCTGGACTCACGCCTGCCCGCGGACCCTGCCATCTGCAAATATAAAGTGGGGTTGAGTACGGTCCACTTGTACTCAATAAAAATCCATTCTAAAGTAAACAACAATAATAATAATCATATCACAGAACCGGTATATATAAGTAAACTGAAATCTCCAGGAACACTATGGCCGGTAACTCCCGGAACACTCTGGCAGGTAACTCCCGGAACTCTATGGCGGGTAACTGTTTGCACACTCTGATGGTTTAACTATGGTAAACTGGGCCACCACCAGAACTTAGGGAAGGCAAACTTGGCCTTAACCCCAAGCGGATGAAACTAATATGCATACCTGAACATGATATCGACTATTATAATCAATGTATAACCCAGACTGGGTCCCCACCTGATCTGCTTTGAAAATATGTAAGTGCGGCTGTGCTGGTAGCTGACTCCTCAAGCTACATAAAAATATAAGCAAACAATGATACTAAGTACTATGCTCGTCATATGCTCATTAATATGCTAAGATGCTCTACTCTATCAGATTACTCATCTGGATATAAAGAAATGCTCTTTGGGTTCACTAAAATAATTCTAAGTCCGGAAGTTAGACTGGTGTGCTCAACTGATATGGTTTGGCTCGGAAAATTACTTAAATTTCAGAATAAGACTCGGACCGAAAATCAAGAACCAAAACTGACTCAAACCGCCGGTTAAACCGGCCTGTTCGCTCACTAACTGAACCGGGGTCGAGCTGAACTGGACCGGGTCGGACTGCCGGTTCACTCTGGACCGGGTGGTCACGGGCTGTTCGAACTGGCCGGGCTCAGTCCCGTGCTGGGCCGGCTGGGGCCCTGGCACGACACTAGGCACGAGCTGGGTGCGACCGGGCCGTGGTACTAGGCGATACTGGGCGCGGACAGGTGCGGCTGGCACAAGCCCTGGCACAACTGGTGCCACTAGGTGCTGCTAGGCACGACTAAGGATGACTGGGTGCCCTGGTGTGCTGCTGGCGCGAGCACGGGCACGACTGGTGCTACTCGGGTGCTACTGGGCACGACTAAGGGTGACTGGGTGCTCTGGTGAGCTGCTGGCGCGAGCACGGGCACGACTGGTGCCACTCGGGTGCTACTGGAAACAACCGAGGTCAACTGGACGCTGGGTGTACGACTGCGCACTGGGGCGTGCGACTAGTCACGGCCCGAGTACGGCTGGTGTGGGAACTGGCGCAGCCAGGCACTACTCACGCGACTCTGGCACAACGGGGGGTTGGTAGGGCGCTGTCGGGCTACCCTGGGCACGCAGGCATGCTGCTGGGCACGTCCCGTGGCCAACTGAACCTAAGGAACACGACTAGGGCTCACTGGGCACGGCACTGGGTGGTAGGGCGTGCGGCTGGCACGACCCATGGCTTACACCACGCGGCACGAGCGACTGGCTCGAGGTCACACGTACACTGACGCTGGGACAACGCTACCGGGCGCTGTCGAAAGTGCTTGGGCGCGACTGACGCCAAGACCTCGCTTACTGGCACGGACAGGTATTGCTGGGCGCTGTCGAGTGCGACTTGTGCTGAAGTGCTTCGCGTGCGCTAGACGCGGGCACGAACAGAGGCACTGTCTGGCCTCTACGACGCGGCACGGGCACGGCACGCGCGACTGGTGCGGCTGGTGACCCTAGCCGGTCTTTGCGGATCTTCTGGCCACTATTTCCGGTGACAATTGACTCAACCCAACACAACATGATATAAAACATGTAAATATGCCAAGAAATTCTAGGGCAACTCGGTTGGATTTGGAGATAGGCCTATAGGGCCGATAAGGCACCCATGAGCCCTAGGTCACCGAAAATGAACATGCTAAACATAAGAATTCACTTAGGGCCGAGTTATCTACATTAAAAATCATGACTATGGTGGCTAGAACATTGGCCATAACATGCACGCATATAGACTTAGGTTCGGAGGTGAAAATGGCTCGATTTCACTAACCAACTTGACCTAACATATGAACTCAAAGCATGATAATCTTTTATCAATGTAATCCACATGATTTTTAAGGAATTTTAAGCTATTAATCTCGGCCATCTCATGCATGTACAAGAACTTCCGAAATTAGGGCTAATAAGTTCGAAAAATCATAACTTCACATTAAGTACATGCATGCCATCATTTTTCAACATGATAATTCCTAATTTATCATGTATGAGCTGGAAAAAATGATAGGTAGGAGCTTACCTTGCTCAAACTCGGAATGGTGCTAAGGATGGCCTTGCTCGGCTAGCTCGCGGCCAATGGGTGTTAGGCCTCGACTTGGGGCTGAATAGATGAGGGTGATAGTCTCAAAAGACTTAGAAAAATCTAAGAATCACTTAGAAATTGCTAAGCCTCGAGAGATATAGCTTGCACAAGACTGGACTTCGCAAACTCC